ATAAGTTAATACCATTCACACTGTCATCATCAGAGTAAACTATCAACTCTCATTATTCCCTTTTTCTTCCCTTCCCCCCTCTACCCATCATCTCGCCCCCCTCTCCCCCCCCTCCTCCCCCTCTCCCCCCTCCTCTCTCTCTCCCGCGCTCCCTTCCTTTTTTTTTTTCTTTTTTTCTTTTTTTGTTCTTTTTTTTTTTTCTTTTTCTTTTGTCTTTTTGTTTTTTTTTTTTTTTTTCCTGAGGAAAAAAAAAAAAAAAAAGGTTCCCTCCAGAATAATATCCAGCATATATTTCTCCCCCTCTTCTTCTTTTCCCTTTCATCCTTTGAATCCCTTTGCTTTGTGGTTGATAGCTGTGCTTCTCTTTTCCCTTCTCATTTCCCAACCAGCAGTGCTGTGTGGTCTCCTCCCCCTTCCACCTACCTTCTATAATCCTCCATTCCTCCAGCTAGCTGGATTCCTCTTTTATTTCGGTTAATTGCAATCGTCTCTGACACAAAGGTTCTTGTAAAGCACCATGTCCGCCGAGCACCACGCAGCTCTTGAGAAGGACGTCGGTCCGGATAACGCCATCAACGGCGCTCCCGAGAACGCCAATGCTTCGCAGCTTTCCTCGCAGATGACCCACGAGGAGCACGAAGTTGCCAAGGCCGCCGCCCGCTTTGGCTATGGTCCTCTGGCCAAGGTCAACCCCACGGAGTACAACCTCCCTCCCTTCGGAGGAGAGTTCCAGCCCGGTCTGTACAAGTCGGTTGAGAAGCGCAAGTTTGCCAACCCTGCTCCTCTGGGTCTGTGTGCTTTCGCCCTCACCACTTTCGTTCTGAGCTGCATCAACATGGGAGCTCGCGACATCACCGCTCCCAACATTGTCGTCGCTCTGGCTTTCGGTTATGGTGGTCTCGTTCAGCTGCTTGCCGGCATGTGGTAAGTTTCTCTGTCAATTGCTGGAGCTCGAGCTCAATCGTATCTCTTTTCGCGGCCGCTCACACAGTCCTCAGGGAAATGGCTATCGGTAACACTTTTGGTGCCACTGCTCTGTCCTCTTATGGTGGTTTCTGGATCTCCTTCGCTATAGTCTTGACCCCCGGTGGCTTCAACATTGAGTCGGCTCTTGTCAAGGCCGACAATGGCAGCACCTCCATGTTTGACAACTCCTTCGGTCTGTTCCTGATGGTAAGTTCTTCTGGATCGGTTTTTGTCCTCTGTCGGCGACCTCGGCTAACCGTCCGAAGGGCTGGTTCATCTTCACCACCATCCTGCTGTTCTGCACCCTGAGATCCACTGTAGCTTTCTTCCTGCTGTTCTTCTTCCTCGATCTCGCCTTCCTCCTGCTCGGTATCGGCTACATCCAGCGCAACAGCGAGGGCAAGCCCAACCCTCCCGTCATCAAGGCCGGTGGTTTCTTTGGTCTCATGGCTGCCTTCACTGCCTGGTACAACGCCCTGGCCGGTATTGCCGACAGCAGCAACAGCTTCTTTGTCATTCCCGTCGCCCACTTCCCCTGGTCTCCTACCGGAAAGGCCCGGAGAACCAAGACCGAGCGCGAGACCGTCTAAGCGGAACCGTATACTGAAGAGGCTGCGGTCTCCCAGAAGGAGTCTGTATCTGCTGCACCTGTTGCATCAGACTCTGTGCGTGATTAAGGGATCAGCAATACGGCACGATCCCTACTTTTAATGCTTCAGATACCCATTCTCGTAAGATCATTGCTGTTTTGGTTAGTTCATGTCTGAGCTTGGTCACTCCGTGGGCTCAAGCAAGTGAGATCTCTGAGCTCCAGCCGCAGCAAATATAGATGGTCTTGTGGACATGTTTAATTTTGTGTTTCCTTTTCCTTGATGTTGATTCCGATTGTCAGTATAAATAATGCGTCCAGGATGGATAATGATGGTGTCTGTTGTCTTGACAATGGACGGGGTCAGTCTGTATTTAGTTGACCGTTATAATGAAATGTTGACGATAGTGCTGTCCACCGGATCGTATCGTATATCGTCGAGTCATCACTTCGGTCCACAATGTTCACTCATGACCTTGGGCTGCAGCCTTATGAGTTAGTGCAATCGATCAGTAGGTCCAGGACAGATCAGTAGACAAAACACAACCCTTAGCATCAGCTAAAGGAGCATTGGCAATGATGTAATATGCCTAGGCATAGCTGTCAACAACATGCAGCATAGTCACAACGTGCAACAAACCACATCCCTAGAAACCAACGTCAGCCAACTCATCGCATATAGATCAGAGCACATCCAGCCAAACCCACCAGAACAAATCAAACCCTAGTAGTTGGCATTAGTATAACTCAGTATGAACAATAGAGTAACCGAGTCCAGTCACATCACCCCATCAGCGGATTGATGGACTCGCAGCAGCAGCAGCAGCAGCAGCAACAACCACAACCACAACAGTAAAAACAAGAACAAGCAGAGACACGGGCTGGGACTGGGCCGGGCAGCCTATATGTAAACCACCTATGCAAGAACATGAGCTATTTTTTTTCCTCCTTTGGTGGCAGTAGGGGGGTTGCTGGTGGGTCAGTAGTACATAGCTCGGTGATTTCTCGGGTCTGGCTGACCTGACTTGACTTGTGCCTTGGGCGCGCCCGCTCTTATCATGGTGCGGTGTCTTGACTTCCACTACCATACCTTACCTATGGTATTCTCGGCCATCATCATGAGAACAAGTGAAAGTACTTTTCTTTCTTGTTGAGGAGATGTTTACTATGCAGTAGAGAAAAACATTCTAGGGTGATGGAGGACGGGTGTGCGATGGACTGTGGACTATGCACCGGTCGATTCTCGGTTGCGGCGCAAACTCGGTTCTTGGGGTGTGGCCGAGTTATACCCGTTGATGAGGGTGGCAGGGAAATGAGATGTGCGTCATGCCATGTCTGCTGTTAGACTCGGTATGTGTTTACTCTTATCGGTGTATGCCTTCTTCGGGGTCCCGGTCCTAGTCCTGGTCCCGGTTCCGGTCCTGGCTAGGACGATCGGGATATCGGTTGAAGGGAGGACTTGCTTGTGTCGGGCTATATTTGGTTTTTCTTCGGGGTGAGTGAGGTATATATTGCGAGTGTCTCTGCTCATGCACGTGTTCGAGGCAGGCTAGTGCTTATTTCTACGGGATGTATGAAGAAGATGTTATGTGTCCAGCCGATGTATTCGTCAATCATGCGGTATATACCATGTCTCATCATTATTGTATCATACATTAGGGTCGGTTGTATATTAACACAGGTTCAACCGACTGGCGTCGGCGTCAATATGAATCTCGTCCCACAACTCGCGCAGTGGTGTCAGGTAGCAGCGATCCACGTAAAAGTATCCCAGCAGAAGCTCTCGCAGTTCCTGCCAGGAGCGGAATCCCTGGTTCCTCACGGCCGTGGCCAGTTCGGTCATGAAGAAGGTGTGCTCGCGGGCCAAGAGCCGCGAGCTGCAGGCCCCCACAAACAGGAGCCAGATCAATAATTCCCGACACAGGTTGAAGTACCCGGCCGGGATCGTCGTTTCAAGTGCCACTCGAAGTCCGACAATCGGTTTCGAAAACACCGGACCCATCTGCGGATAGAACTCCCATATGGTGGTGTTGTGGAACAGCAAGCAGGCCAGCCGGACGCAACCCTCAATCGTTGCGTCCCCCTTTGCTTCACCGGTCGCCGTGTATCGGTCTGTGTGCAGGGCATACTCGACGTAGAGCACTTCTGTGTTGAAGTAATCCTCCGTTTTGTCATCAAAGCTTTGCGAGGAGTTTGGATCGCCCTTGATCCACTCTGCATACCAAACAAGTTCGGTCAGGTCGTATATCGTCTTGGACATGGCATCACCAAAGACGCCGGGTATCTCAATCAACTGAATCAAACGCGATGCGGTACTAGCATGATCTTTACTAGGGGGTATAAGCGTAAGCCGAGAGGGTCGAGCGTAGCGGACGAAAGGGAAGATCGGCTTTGTAAAGGCCATGCACGCCACTCGAATGTCGGTCCTAGTTGGGGTTAATTACGCGCGTTAGGGGCCCGAAACCTTCGCCCGGCTCGACTCACCATGATATTTGAAAGCGGACATCCGGTGGCACGTCCGCAAAGCTATTTCTCATAGCAACCATCTGTCTTAACCCTGCCAGATGAATTTTCAAGTAATCCGGATTCCCCGATGCAATCTTTTTCGTCAGCAGGGCCGTGAAAGAAGCAACAGTGGGACAAATCATACCTCGATCGTGAGTAGGATTGACACCGCAGCGATGAGTTCATCGCTAGAGGCTTTAAGCGGGTCCGATAAGCCCTCGTTGACCAAACGGATCGTCTCTCCACGATGGTGAAAGGTGTCCAAGACCAACGGGCTCGTCTTTGCTTGGTTGGGATCAACCAGTGGGAACTCCCCTGCCTCCAAGGCGGCATTGGACGCAGCGACACAGATACAGGCATGTAACGAAGCCGGGTCATGTTGGACCAGGGCCGCCCAATGAGCCTGTAACCGCGGCCCATATCGTCGTTGCAACGGATATGCCAATCGGGTCAAATCGCACAAAACTAGAATCCACTATCAACAAAAAAAAAATGACCATCTTCAGCTTGGACAAGTTGACTTACAGTGTTGCAGGTGTCGGTACATCCTCTCCGAGAGAGGCGTATGCAAAGTATTGAAGGGATCTTTTTCTCCTTGACCTAAATCATCCCATGGAGGAGAGGACCTTGATTGTACAGGGCCGACCGTCTGCGTCCGTGAAGGCGCACCGACGCTGTAGCCGTCCACGTTGCCAGCGGATGCAGAAGACGGAGGGAAACTCGTGCTCTCCGAAACAACAAGCTCAAAATGTCGCTCCTCCTCTTTGATCTGCGGTTGGTCTTGATCGTGTTCCTGTTCGGGGTGTCGATGATGCTGCACGGAGATGGGGGGTGAAGAGGTGGAAGTATCTTGATCGAGGGCCGAAGACGACGAGGTCAAAACCGGTTGAGATAAGTCAGCCGGGGCAGTTGTTGACACCGCGGTTGTGCTGGAGGAATTGGAGGCGGTGGTCTCAACAGGCTGAAACGCAAGATGCTTCCAGGTCTTGCTCTTGTAACGCTTGGTGTTCTCCAATCTCTTCTTGCGATTGTGCTCGGACATCACATGGGAGCGAATGCGTTTGAGAGTCTCTTCTCGCGTTCCTTCCGAAACAGACTGCGGGTCGGTATGGACCCAGAACAGCGTTGACCGGCCGCTGGATGCATTGGTGGTCTTGCGAGGCTTGCGAAGCTTCGATGGGGCGCTCTTGCCTACATCTTGACGGGTGGTCGAATCCGAGACGGCGGACCGCGACGCTGCATCTGCAGCTTCATCGTGGTTGGGTGACAAGGAGGATGACGAGGGCGCGATAGTAGGAACATTAGTTGTCGCAGCCGATGATACGGCAGCAGGATGGTGATGAAGAAGTTGAGGTTGTTGCTGTTGGTGATGATGAGGATGATGAGGATGGTTATAATTATTAAAGATAGTAGCACCAGAAGTAGTCGAAGTAGTAGTGGTGGTGGTGGAATCCCAAGCAGCTGGTTTAACTAGCATGGGTAGGACCTGCTCGTGGCCGCTGGCAGAGGAACATGCCGTTGGCTGGATATTGGAGTTCTTGGCATCCATCGGACTTCGATCAGCAATCAGAGAATATGCTGATGATCTTCATGGGTATTATTCATTGTTTCTAGAGTTGGCAAGAGGGGACAAGAATTGGAGGAAATGGGTTGGATAGTGACAAGATGAAATGGACAGGGTACCCAAAGCCAAGGGAAATGCTGAATGGTCAGCACACTGTCCCTATCAGGAAAAGCCCATTGTTTTTTTTTTTGGTGGCCTGGCTGGGGGTTAGGATGCGGACTTTTCGACCTGGACTTTGTTGGTGAGAATAATAGAAATTAAATGTCTGAGGGGCAGGACTGCAGGAGCAGCCAGCGATGGAGTCGTAGCAGTAAGAAGCGACAAGACAAGAGTTGTCACTTATCCGGGCGGTGGATGAGTCGATAGAAGAGGGGGAGGGGACAGCGCGATTCCGTAAGCACAGCTAGAGGGTTTCTTTTGTTGCGCCCGTCTCGTTTTTTTTATTTTTTTTATTTTTTTGGTATTTTATTGTTTTTGTTTTTTTCTTTTTTACTTCTCTTTTTCATTCACTTGTATTTCTTTTCTCCGGCTCAAGTTGCTCTCCCTTGTTGGAGTTAATATTAATGATTTCTATGGTGGATAGCCAATGATTAGTGGAACGAATTCTGGCCGAGACGATGCGTGTATTAAGGCTGTAACCGATGGCGCGGGTTTCCAGTGCATGTGTCCAGACTTCTGGGCTTCTACGGAGCAGCACAGAGAACTCCCCCGAAGGACTCGAAAGAAAAAGTGATGAGAAGAGTCGAAAACACGAGGCCAGATCTCGGATGCTGTTGCTGCCGAAGACCGAGTGGAGCCCCTGCGCCGGTATTGAACTATTGGTATGTCACATAAGTCACTATAAACGACTGGATGTCGGATGTTGGAATTTATGAACTGATGGATATGAATAATATCAGTACATATGAATATGGAGATGTCTGACACATGAGCCAGTGTTAAGTGTCCAAAGAACAGCAGAATCATCTACCACCTTATCATTATTACGGATACTCCCTCCTTAAATTTGAATTTGCATTGAGCCTCCTATCTTGCCTTGCCTTGCCTTGGGTGCGAACAAGCCCACTGAATAATGTTCTTGAGTCCTCGAAGCCCTGTCATTCTTCGAGATTCATGTCAGAATCCGACTCCACAATCCACATGTTTTGTTTGCGTTTGATCGGACAAATCCTCGATTCACCGGAGTAGCCTATTTTGTAGGTTATTTTCCATGTGTTTTCCATTCTCCTTGCGGCTCGCATGCTGATGTATCGAAGCCCTCCGAAGGTTCAGCTGGAAAAGGGTCAGCCTACAGTATCAGACTGGGACGATTGGACTGTTAACTTCCTCCTACAATCGTAAATTGTCTGATAGTGATATGCTTTAGTCAGTTCATCACTATGACACAATCCACCTTACTGAAGACCTGACTCAAGAGTTCGAATAATGTCTCCAAGCGCTGAGGATTGACTAGAGCAAACTCCATGATAATTTTGAGTTCTACTATTTCGGTAGTATCTACTCCGTATGGAGTACACAGTCGGAGTCTCGGAGTCTCATTTTCCAACCTATCTACGGAGTAGTTTACAGATGACCTCTCATATTCCAGACGGTTGAATTTCCCTTGTTGGCGCTCCTCGGAGGCTCGAACCGAATTCCACATTCCGACCCCGTGGATACTTTCCTCATTGTCTTTAGTCCTGTGCTCAGCAGTATCTACTCCGTACGACGAAGCAGAATCAGAATACAGACACTTGCCTCATTATCGCTATCGTATACGAGATGCAGAAATCGACTTCCTACATTCAACGTTGCCATCAATTGCCCCAGCCCAGCCGCATCAACATGTGGAAAACTTGGAATTTATGCACGGCCATGAGCCAGTTGCAGTCGTCAATCTGACCGCAAAATGCGACCGTCGAATTCGATACAAGATACTCTCCGTAGATATTACTTAGCTGTCGACTCGCTGTAAATCTGACTGCAACATCGGGCCTGAATCGTGTAGACTGTCTGCAGCGTATCCGATTCCTGAAGAAGAAACTTCGGTACTGCGTCTGGGCCTGGTAGGTGCATACGAAATACGGAGTACTACTACCTACCTATCTTGCTCCCTTGCATCCTCGCTCCGCCATCTCCACACAGGCCAGCGGCCTATTGTTGAGAGTTGGGAGTTGGGACGGTTTTCATCGTCCTTGATCAGTGGGGACTCAGGCAGTCTAGTCTAGTAAGACGACGTCGTATCGCCATAACTGTACACCACGTCCGCAACTGTTTTCCGGACAGATGCAGATGCCTTGAGAACCGCTCATGCGACCCGCTCAAAGTAGCGTTCAGGTTGTTCCGCATAACCTGGCGATCATTGGCAATTAGTGAACGGTCTCTGTTGGCTTTTAGCAAACCAGAGAATTCTACCCTGCAATTGAATCTGATTGATATAGATACCGGGGCTCGTGATCTGTTTCACCATCAACGCATGGCTAGAATCCCTGGCAGCATGAAGGTTAGAATTTGTAACAAGAATACAGTAGGCCCATTGATATGATCCTTAGTAATGTGAATGTGAGGAATATGTGCTTCTGATTGAAACATAATTCTAGAAATACCCTTCTGTCCCAAATGTACTGGGCGCATACGGAACCAGATATATATTGGGACTTCCCACAAACTGCACACCCTAAGTTTTACATTACTAACACAACTCATATATATCGTCCTCAATTATCTGCTATGCGCTGCTTGTCTTAACGAGAAATGCGCCTGCGCTGCGGACTCGCTCAATGCTACAAACACCAGAAGCCTTGATGCAGGAAACAGGGACAATGCGGACCAGAATTACAGGAGTATGGTAATCAGCAGAAAGTCTGACGCATAAAGACACAGAAACAAACGATTAGATACGCTATATCCCCAGTCAGCCATCTAGACTGCACTTCCGGTGACTATGTATGCCGACGGCCTGCTATGCTAGATCATCCCGGGTCGTGGGAAGACTGGCACTGTTTCCAGCTGTTCGAGTCCTCCCATGGTACCGTGTTGACCGCCGACATGCCAGCCCTGGCCGGTTTGTTGGTTCACAAAGGCACTCTGTCGGAAGGGATTTGTGCTTCCGGTGGGGTTCGGCCGTAAGGGTGCTGCGGCTGGAGGCTGCAGCCCCTGACTCTGTTGGGGAGGAACAGAGGAGCTACGAGCAAAGGGATTGGTCCCTGTTCGTTGAGGCTGAAGTGGTTGCTGTGCTTGAGCCTGAGGAGTCGCCTCAGTGGGGCCTGAAGTGAACTGTGGGTTCACCGTCGATAGGCGTCTGGCAAAGGGGTTTGTGTTTTGACGGCTCAACGGGGAGGCTGGCACAGCAGTCCCTGTCGGTGTGCTCATCAACATTGACTGCCTGAAAGGATTGGTTGATTGTTGTTGCGGCTGCTGCTGAACACCCGGTGCGGGCTGTTGCTGCTGAGGAAATGATGCAACCCCGCTTTGCGGTATGGGGCTAAGATGGGTTTGGAATCCATATGTCTGCGGCTGTGCTGAATAGCCGCCAAATCCAGCCCCGGTTGGGGTAGACTGGAGTGGTTGCGGGACTTGCGCTTGTCCAAATTGGCTATTATCCTGCTGAGGAAAGGGTTCTCCAAAGCCAGTCGGCTGACCAAAAGGGGCCACTTGAGGCTGTTGCTGGAAACCCGTCTGCTGGGAATAGAACCCCGTCTGCTGCGGCTGGAAGCCCGTTGGCTGGAACGGCATGGCTTGCTGTTGCTGCTGTGCTTGGTACGGTTGCTGGAAAGTAGTTTGTTGTACTATAGGCTGCGGATTGGGCTCGATAGACTCGAAAAAATCAATCAAGTCCGCAGGGTTTGTCTTCTTCTGCGGGTTCGGTTCTGTTTGTGGGCGGTTCGGGGCGGAAACCATATTAATGGTATTCTGATGGCCCCCAGTAATACTGGACTTCAGCGCAGTGCTTGGTCCACCATCCTTTGCGCCTTTCCGACTCAGGTACTCCCTTCGGCGGAGGTTGAAATCCGGATCATTGAGATCATCCTCAAGAAGGCGCGTCAAGTCCGTCGAAGCGTGTTTGAGTTTAGGTATTTCCAATCTGGTTGCGGATTGAAAGTGCCTAGCAACTCCCAGGAACTTTACAACCTCCTCCGTTTGCGCGGTGAAGGTCTTGTAGATCTCTAGAGCGCGCTCGCTGTCTGGTCTCGACATTTCAAAATAATGCTCTAATCGCCAATCGCGTTAATGTAGGTCACAACATGTCGGGACAAGGAACCTACCGAGGACATTTATTGTACCCTCATTCATGACCGAGTATAGGGTCAGGAGATCCAATGTAAGCAATCGGAAGGCTGTGAGTGTAATTTCATTTTCCACTTCATCTGTCAGAAGCTGATGGCGAACTGTCAGTCAAAGGTTTAGCACCGGTCACAGTAAGGTGAAGACCCACGTCACAGCGTAACAATGCCTTGATCTGCTTCTGAACAATCTCCGTTTCTCTCAGGAGACCCTTTTCAACTGTCAATCGCTTCATCCGCCCTTGTCCGCTCCGAACGTAGTCTGTCTTTGTAGCTTCGAATGCTTTTGCGCGCGCCATAAGATAATCGGCATATCTTCGGATATTATGCCCTTGTGATTGTACTACAAGCATGAGCTATCAGCATGGGAACACGCACATTTCGCGAGGTGTTCCCCTCCCTTCATGCTCGCAGCTTGCGCACTAACCTTCTGAGTACCCGCTGATTGCTAACTTGGTTGGGTTTTCCGCCATGAACTGTAATGTGGCATCCAGTTGCCCCTCTCGTATCATAAGATGGACGACGATTAGCGCCTTGAACACGATCGTCCATGTTGAATCGCGAAGTCGAAGTTGCAGCGTCCGGAATATTTCTGCAACACCAGCCTCGCCCGTATGGGTCGCAACCAGAATGTGTTCGATGTATTTTGATTTAGGAGCCGCAAGCTGTCCATCGAGAGAAACGCATTAGTAACCATCCAAGATAGTATTGACAAGACCGAACGAATTGACTTGACTAACCTTGACCTTGGTGGCTCCCTTCACGGATTTCTCAAAATTTTGAGACATTGTCAGCAATGATTAGGTGCCGAACTTGGGCAGTAATAAGAATCAGGGGACCGTCGCGATGGCCCCAAGAGCGAACCTGTTGGGACCTCAGAACCGTGCCTGCGGAGCGAAGAGGAATTGGAAATTGTCTCTGAAAGGACTCTAGATCGACATGTGTACGCCAGCACCAAGTTTGATCATGATGGTTCAAGAAGCCATGCTGCGGAGCCAGTGGTTCTCGCGGAGTAGCTCAGGAATAAAGACCAGAGGACACTGGTCACAATGGCCGTCAATCGAGGCGGAAAAGCCGGATTGATAGAAGTTGAAAGGAATCAAATCGTCCGGGCTGATGAAGAGCCTGGTGCTGGTGGTTGATTGACTACAAGAGCTTGAGCCCGTTCGCTCGGTGGTGTTTCGTAGACGAATGAGTCGCGGTGGAGCTCCTGGCTTGATGATGATTTCCCGCTACTACTACAACATGACTAGCGCTGGCACGAGTATCGGGTCAACATCTGTGACGGAGTCAGATAACCGCCAGTATACCAACATTTAACAGTGTTTTACTTCACCTCACTTTCAGTCATTGTTTTACTCTGAATATGGAAACAATTTATGGACATCAAGCTTGATTTCATTAACTTGAAAACCCCCGAATCAAGCATGATTTTGCGATGTACAGCTCTGCAATATAACCAACCCATCAGTGGATCTATTCTGGCGACTCTGACACTAACCACGCAACGTCGACGCTACTTTCTTATCTTATTATGCTCTTGATGAAAATGAAGCAAGTAGTCGTTCATTCACATCGCTACTTTGGAGAGGGAGGCTACTTAATGTAAGGAAAGGCAGTGGGCAAGGGAGGCGAGGGCCATCTCCAGCACTTGTCCTGTATCTTAAATGAAGCCCAACACTTCTTAAAGCAGATCCAAGACCTTCTTACTTCTGTTTTGACTCTCATGGATACCTTAACACCTCATAACCATCTGTTCATTCACCCTCTCCGTCAAATGCTGGTGTACCATCCCCAGACAGCTGTCCCTGTTTCTTCTCAGATTCTCTATCCCACTCTTTACAATAAACCTCACTACAACACTGATTCTAGCCTCTACCCTTGTGTTGGTTCCTCCTCTCTTCACTCTCTTATCTACTCTCTAATCTTCTTTACCGATTCCACTTGTGTTGGTTTCTACTCTCCCCACCTACTCTCTAATCATCTTTACACAATAATATCACTTGCTATCTCACCACAACACTTCTCCTTTGCGTCGCTTCAAAGATCCCAGTGCTTTCCTGAAAGGCATTTTTGAACATGCAGCTGGACTTCTCACTCAGACGTCCCCAAGTACCGTGGGACGATGAAAAAAGAGTATTCTTGTGCTGTCTCTACAAGTTTTTTGAGAAGGACAGCTCTGCGTTTGAGGAAATCTTCAGTGCCAAATACAAAAGGGACTTAGAGAACAGCGGCTTCCCTGATGGGAAAACTTCTCACAGAACATTGAATACTCAATGGGTTGATATGAAACGACACGGGAATCCTATTTGGGGCCATGTCCATAAATCCCCTCTCAACCAAGGCGATTGGCGACCAATCAAGGAGATAATCATCGATGTTGCTCAATCGCTTCGAATCTCTCTCGTCGATAAGAAAAAGGACGACATAGACACCTCAGATTACTGCTCAGGGACGACTAGATCTGTCAGGTCCAGTGCTCCCAATTCAGCTCCCGATTCAGCTCCCGATTCAGCTCCAGCTCCAGTTCCGACTTCAACATCCGTGAGTTATATCATGAATGCTCGAGGAAAGGTTACTAAATATGGACAGCAGAACTCTACGGCACTCTCTGCTACAATTGTTGAACACCAAAGTAACTCCTTGTCAGGATACCACAGTCCCAGTATTAACAAGCAATCATCATCAGTGCAGCCATTGACCCAACATGGTGGAAAGGTTTGCTGGTGGTGCTTAGACCAAGCAGACGATGCAGCTGAACTTAATGTATGAGTGGGAGAAGTATATGCAAGTAATGGTAGCTAATGTGGGCAACAGACTCCTTATACTATCACTCCCTCAGGAAGCGACCACCTACCACCTCTCCTGTACAGATGGTCGAATACTGATTCACAGGGAATCAATACCCCAAAGCGATACATCTCTGGCCTGTTCTCTGACTCAGAGGTCAGCCCATTCCTTCCAGATGACATCGCCCCGGACAAATTCAATGACTATGTTCTGAAACATGTCAGCATCGCAAGCCATCCAAGCCCATTCATTTCCACCTTTCAGTCTATCCTAGCCCCAATCCACCGAGCAATGTGGGGGAAGGAGGGGGCTAGGGTCTCCATCATCGATACAAGAAAGCTTACAAGCCCACTGTACTTCGCAAAAGACCTTGTGCGGCAGAATAAGATTCGAATCAGGGGCTACAGTGGAGTAGGAGAGTATCTTATCTGGAGAGAGATTCAAACGTCCGCGATCATTTGCTCCTTCAAGATCACTACTCTCATTCAAATTGCAGAAGAGAATGAAGATATCAGCAGAATATTGCAACTTGACAGAATTGCCTCCTATAAGCGCGTTCGGGGAAAGTTACGAACAGTTCTTTCGAAGGGGACAGGCAGTATGAATCTGGATCATGCTTCTGGTGTAAGCTTGGGTAGATTGCTCCATCTTATCAATGTTCCCCAAGCATATTATCAGATGGTCGGCGAGGGCGTTATGAAGTCATGGCAATTACGGAAGCAGGGAACGTGGCAGGAATTTCGCCAAGGGCTTGAAGTTGGATTCAGGTTACCCCAATCAACCTTCAGTTCATATCCAGTCAACCTGGATGCAACACCTGCAGGGAGGACTCTGGCCAAGGCAGCCGAAACAGATCCTCTTGTTCAGAATGACTCCGTCATGGATGAAGATGAAGATGAAGATGAAGATGAAGATGAAGATGAGGATGAGGATGAGGATCATGATGATGATGAAGATGATGAAGAAGATGATAGTGACGACGTCCATTCCATCTTTGACACGCCTTGCCCCGTTCGAATAGGTCACTCTATTTCGTCTACCACGCCCCCGGACACCAGGCCACTCAATCGAATTGAGCTCTACAATCCCATTACTGGAAACTGGTCTCTGGTCCAAGATTCAGAGCAATCCACTCCTACAGAAGCTGAGTCTTTCTCTCGGGAATCCAGCGTGATCGTCTTGGACGACTTCGAAGAAGAAATTGAAGAGCTTGGGGACCTGATCATGGGAGAAGATATACCTGATCTATCTACACCTGAGCATCTCCCGAACGATCAATTCGCCACAGATCGCGAGAGGATTAAACGTCTTCTCAAGTGAGATTTCGACCGATGCGAATAATTTCGCCAAAACCTCCCGGGATGAACCGTACTTTGCAAGCAGATGCATGCCAAATGACCTTTCAGAGGGAATCATGTTCAATGTGTCATTTGATAGGTCTGCATTGGCAGATTTCGACGAAGGTTCATTTACTAGTTTACGGCACGATCAGCCAGTTGGTGTCATTGCGCACTTGCAGTCTTGGTGATACCACCATGATTTTCCGGACTCGAGATGGGAGTTTTTAAAGCAATCAGAAGGCCGTCCTCGAAGGAGCAGAGCGAATGACACACAAGGCAATGTAGCCACTCTTCCTTCCGGTATTTGATACGAAGGTAGAATAAACCAGGTTCCAAGTCATGAAAGAAATTCCATTCCCAAAGCCGCTGTGCGTGATAATCCCTTGTTCCGTGGTCTCTGCAGAATTTGTATGTAACACAGGAGGATCAAATTTTTTTGTATTGGATATTTCCTGCAGGAGGGTACCTGGGACATAGAATCGTTAAAACAATCCCAACCCGCCAGATCATTTCGCTTATATCCAGTCACGCCGCTGCCCTAGGTTTTATTTTCCATGTGAACACCCCCTTCATCCATTATCGACGTTTAGAACTTGTTGAACGACTTGACGGCCTTGCCGGTACGGGGCAGGACACGCAGGACGTTGAAGCGGACCTATCAGAGTAAAAGTTAGACATCAATGTTTCTGATGGTGGATTTACTAGCCCTCGACGATAGTTTCCATTTCAGCGTCAATCGCTGCCAGAGAACATCGCGCGGGAGTCGTTGTTTGGAGGATTTCCACATACAGTCTTGCTCAGAGGACGGCACTGGCCGACGGTGACCCAGTCACCCTCCTCAACACGGAAAGCGGGAGAGACGTGGGCGGCAAGGTTCTTGTGTCTCTTCTCGTAACGGTTGTACTTGGGGACGTAGTGGAGGTATTCACGGCGGATGATGATGGTACGGTGCATCTTGGTAGAGACGACACGGCCGGTCAGGATACGACCACGGATGGAGACCATACCGGTGAAGGGGCACTTCTTGTCTGTTTCAAATTAGCCATCTGTACATATTCCTCGACGCCGCTAGTCAACAGGCTTTGATCCCCGGGTTTTGAAGACGAGGAACTCGAAACTCCGCAAAAATAACCAAGGCATTAAATTTCCCTGCAGGACCAGTCGTTCAATCGTCCGGTTTGTCGCATCCTCTTTCCAAATTTTCTGCGCCATGATTCTTGTGACTGCCTTTCGATATTTCGCGCGGTTTCCTCATCCCCAAACCTAGGTAATCGCAGCCTGTCTCCGAATCTAAAATCCGATGTCGCCGGCAAAATCTCAGAGTAGGTCGCTCATACCGATGTAGCTGCCCTCAATGGCAGTCTTGGGAGTACGGAATCCCAGACCGACATCCTTGTACCATCTCCGGGTCTGGCCGACCTTCTTGCTCTTCGCCTTGGTCTTGGAGTTGAGGAAGATGTGAGGCTGCTTCTGGAACGCACGTTCCGACTGGACGGTCAACTCGGTAGCCATTTTTGCGAGAATTCAGGTCGACGAGGAAGCGAAGTCGAGCTGGATATAAAATTCGTCGCGAAGGGGGGTGTCGGGTCGGGGCGGTGGTCGACGTCGATGTTGAGGAAGATTTATTCGACGATGGCTCGATATTCCGTGGTGTGAGTGTGCGACGAGGGCACTAGCCCGGATATGGAATGGCGCGGTTCGGCTAGGGCTTTTTTGGTTTGTTTACATGGGGTGGTCACATGAGCGGCGGCCGGGAGACGCGCTTGTTGATGTATGTTTAGTTGTTGACTGCGTCGGACTGATTATGCTACTTTCTATTTGAACAATCGCGATTCATATAAACTGGAGAAAGAAAATCTATCTTGATCAGTGATATTGGAGATCTGATAGACATTTTTCTGTCTATGTTCTTCTTCACCTATCCTAATGGCGTCCAGAGGTGACTCCGCGGGGTCGGGTCGTCCGCGATCTCGCCGTTCCATTGCCCATGTACCTCGTTCGAGATTGACGTCTGGATTAGATAAAGAGAATGCCACAACAGATATAGGTGCGGTTCAAAGTCAAGATGGCTTTGCGAAACGTGCGGGAAAAGATAAAAAGTCACGCAGTAAGAGCTTAGGACCTGGTGGTTTGGATGCTCTTCAGGATTCAAATGGCAATCGGCGCAAGGTACTTCCTGGGCGCTCAGAATCTTTTCTTTTGTAAGACGTGATGTTGACCGAAGTACTATCTAGTCTACCATGGCTTTTCCGCTCAAATCTATTCTCAAACCGACAGTTCCTGTCTCTCCAGTTCGAAGCATTCCGTCTTTCGAAGAAACGCGCAAACGAACTCCAGCGCGCGGCGCACAACAGGACGGTGTCCAAGGCGAAAGTAATGATCAAGGGAAGGAAGATTTATTGGCAGACTTCGATACTCCCGCGCAACCGCCGGCGTCTGGCCCAGAAGACCCGGCCAATCCCTTCGATAGCTTCAATGCGTCATCTGCGATCGCCGCCGCGAGGGAACGGGAGGAAAAGGAGAGGAGAGAGCGGGAGCGTCAGGTCATACTGGAAAAAAGAGAAGCGCGCCGGAAATCGATGGGTTAGTCAATGTCTTCCCTAGGTACCCTACAGTTGGCTAACACCTGTCTGTGCAAAGCGAACCGCCGCGTTTCTTTCGCTCCGGAGGCGACACTACACACATGGAACGTTGTTGAAATACCTGATGACTCCACTTCCTCATCTGCTTCTAACTCCACCCGACGTGCTTCGTCCCTCGCTGAGAACCAAGCGCCAACACAAGCATCCCACCAGAGAGAATCCCCGTCCACACCTGACACCGAAGCGGAATCAGACATTGCATTTTCTCCAGTAGAGTATCCGGACCTGCAAGAGCTCAGGAATCGTTCAACCTCAACGTATGATGAGCCTGTAACTTCGCAAGATCTGTCGTCTAGTCCATTCAGCGGAGGCTCCGCAGATGGTTTGGAGGATACTGGCCTTCAAGATGTCGCAAGGGAAGATGACGATGACGACGATGATGACAGTTCCTCAGGCTCTGGATTTGATGGGGAGAGCACCGCAATGAGTATGGAGGACCTGTCTGTTCAGTCAGCGGCAAGTGTTCATTCAGATCGGTCGGGCTCCAGTACCAGTTCCAGCGCCCGCCTGAACGAGGCATTACGCCAAGCAGCTAAAGAAGCTGGAACGAGAGGCATTGACTACGACGAGGATGGTGAGATGTCAATGGAGATCGTTGACCAAGAAATCACTGGCGCTTTCCAGCCTTGGATCAAAAAGGGCCAAAGACAAAGTTTTGAGTGGGAGGATATCAGCGCTTTGCATGACCAAGAAAATATCAATCCATCGCACGGCTCGATCCAGCCATCGACTGTTCCCGATGGTTCCGCCGATATCGCGGGCGAAGACCTCAGCATGGAGGTAACAAATGCTATTGGGCGTATCATCCAACCAAGTCGTCGCCAGAGCACCGTCCGTCGCAAGTCAACGGGCGAAGAGACGGACTATGATGAGCAGACTATGGAATTCACAAATGTGATTGGCGGCATTAAACAATCTACATCTCCCACCAGATCTGTAGGCGGCGAAAGTAATGCTAGCGATGAGGAGATGACAATGGAATTCACCTCCGTTGTAGGAGGTCTTCTCAACAAACCGTTTCAGACTCAGCATGCCGAGGAAGCAAATACCACTGGAAGGAACAATGAGGATAATGATGGTGACAGCATGGAAGACGATGCAGACATGGAGATTACAGGGGCAGTTGGTGGCATTCTTTCGGCAACCGGGACTCGAGATGACTGGCAGGACGAAGACCAAACGGCAGGAATGGAGCTCACAACTGCTATGGGAAGAATTTTGCCAACGGCAATTGAGGCTGTTAACGAAGACCAAGAAAGGGGAGACGCGAATTCAGAGTCGGAGAATGAACAACCGGGAAGTTCTCCCTTCCAGGAGAATGTTCGGCAGTCGCCTTCAAAATCCCCAGTTTCTTTCCACTTGGCTGCTGTCGCCTCGGAAAGTGGAAGTCCAAGCTTAGCCAGTGTAAGGCCTCGATCAACCAGGCAAAGTTTGAGCCGTCGAATGTCTAACACGCCTTCGGCACACTCACCACAACAATCACCAGTCAAGAACACATTGACTTCACCAAAGGACTCAACACCCCAAGTCAATCAATCCATGACGCCCAGCAAGACTCCTCCGAGCACCACGTATAACCGAAGTGCATCGCCAAAGAAGCTTTTCCAGCCCGAGATCCGTCATTCTGCTAGCAAGCATAAATCCCCTGGCCGCAAGAGTCTTTTTGGGTCTACCGCGGCGACCGGTGAAGCCGTTCCCCTTTTTGTATTGCGTCCTCACGAGAAACGGCGTTCATCAGGTCTGGGAATCGACAAAGAAGGACTCGGCTCGCCTCGCGTGGCTGCTATGCTCGATGGAAGACGGTCAATCGGAGAGGAGGCTCCACGCTTCGTTCCTCAGGAGCAGCCCAAATCGGGTGTCCGCTTTGAGGATCCTCTCAAACTCCAAGCAGAAGTCGACATGGAGCGTGAAGAAGAGGAGAAACGGGAGGATGGCCATATCCCGCCGCTGCAGTTGGATCCTACAGCGAACCTGAAGGATATGATTTCGAGCCTCACACCGAAGAAGAACAAGCTCCGCGGCCGCAAGAGCTTACACGTGGGCGCTGCTCGGGGTTTATTGGGCAAGCGACCCATAGAGCTGGATCAGGATGATGAAGAGGACGCCAACAATACTCCTAAGCGCTTGAAGGGTCGCAACGCCAGCCCAGTGAAGAGCATTAAACTTCCAGCACCGCCCACAAAGGATGAGACGGTTGGACATTTGAAGCGTTCACCTACTCGTAAGTCTGTTATTGCACCACCTACTGAAGGTAGCACAACTCCAAGACAGGAGCCGAAGACCAGCTCCTTATCGCTTACTCCGGCGAAAGACGCATTGGAGTCTTTCAACTCCACCACAGAGTCAACATTAGCTGAAGAGGGAAGCGTCGCTCCACAAGATAACGAGCCCGAGTTTGAACCTATTCAGCTACAGGATTTCTTGAACATGACCAACATCCATTTCATGGAGCTGACTACAACCAAACGAAGGCATACCACAGCCCCTGGGAGTGCGAGTAAGAGAGCAGCTAGGCTTTCTGCCGAGTCCAAGGCTGGCGCAGCCAGTTTTGAAGATTGTGTCGCTGCCGGTTTTTGTACTGTGCCCATGCTTGAGTTGTATCAGCATGTAAGCTGTTTCCTTTCCCGTCGACCTAGATGAATACTGACGCTTTTTTAGTCCTGCCGCGAGTTGAAATCCTACATCTCTGAAGGCCGACAAGTGATTCGGTCCATCGAAACCGAGACATACGCTGAGAACCCGCCACTCTTCCGAGAATATGCCACTGCTCCGCCAGACATCCGTCTGTTGATGGACAACCAGTTCCGGAATGTGAAGACTCATGCTAGGTTACTGAGCAAAGCCACATGGTACGAATGGCGTATGAAGCTTCTCGAAGGCCTGAAAGAAGGTCTCGACCGGCATGTAGAGGACATGAAGACGGATGGCGATCTCTTATCAAAATATGAGGCACTTCTCGATGGCGTAGTAACCTCACTCGTCGAGAAACAAGCTGCGCGGAAAGAAGAGGCCACGAACTTACAGCAACTTGCGGATGAGATGGAGAATTGTGACCAGGATGAACTGCGAAATGCGCGGGAGAAGCTCTCCAGTCTAGAGGATGAGATCGAGTTGAAGAAGAAGCAGCTGCAGGAGCTTCAAGGGCAGGTGCAAGAGAAGACTAACAATATTGAGTCGGGAGCGGAGCTCAAAGCCGAATTCTTGGCGCAGATCCACGAAGCTGAAAGGGTAAAAGAGGAGTGTCATGGCTGGAGCGCCAAGGAGATCGGTGAATTGAAGGGTAAGATTTCTCGCTCCCTTGAAGATTATGTATGCTCGAGGATTACTCACAATCTTGATAGGATCCGTTCGGAAGATTGAGCTTCAGACAGGCTGGTCCATCGTATCAGCCACCTCCTCTGGCTCACCCGCAGGCCCGTTGTTGACCATGTCCTACCGGGAGCAGCTTCAACTCGTCTTCCACCCGGCACTCTTTGCTACTGAAAACGGAGATCAACCGCCGTCCGGCATTGACGAGAAGACAAACCGGCCTCTTGAGTTGAGATATCACCCGAGACGCGGAGGCAAGTCCACGATTCATGCGCCGCAGCTATCTCCTATCGCTTTGTTAGTCCTTAAGTCTCTTCAAAAGCACCTCAAAACTCTACAGCCCAAGATAGCCACGATAGCTCCAAAGCATCTCTTACGCTTCATATCAAATGCTTGGAACTCCGTGCTCAACCTAGAGGAAGAAGCCCGCATGCTTGAATTCTGCGGCGTAACTAAACTCAGGCTATCCGAGGACGAAGACAAGCTGTCGCTTAGAGCCAGGTGCACTCTTCTCGGAACCGATACAGCCGAGGGCAGAAAGACACCCGCGCCCAAATCCACAAAGAAACCCGCGAGCAGTGAGAAACGGCGAATCGATGTCGATTTTGCGGTGAGGACCCGCGTTGTCCAGGGCAATGAGCCCGGTGACATCGGTTCGTTGGATTTTGAGACCGATGTGATCGCCAGCAAGGTGTATGGTTTCGGATCCGGCAATGACCTCGGCATGTCTGAGACGGAGATGCGAACTATCCTCTGCAAGGAAATAGGGGAGAAGACTGCCGGAGTACAGTTTGGGAATGGTGTTTGGAGTAAGGCGGTTCGGATGCTTACCGGGACGGTTTTATAAAGTACCCATGGGTGGACAAAGACGAGGTGTTGGTGTTCATGGAGTTCAATTAGGCGGTGCGTGATTTGAGGGTCAACATGATTGTACATAGGTGTTCCGAGTTCTTTCGTTTCAGGGTCGGCGTTTGTTGATTGAATGACCTTCCTGAAGATATCTCGTATGTACATGGAAAGCTTGATATGTGTTCTAATCGCCGGATTCTAGGGTTAGAAAGAAGTGTATATTGCTCATTGCGTCATTCATGGAGATTCTGTTCAGGACAATAGATCGTCATATGTTGTGTTGCTTATATACAATTCTAATGCGTATATATAGTCAAGATCGAAGATCGCGCAACCCAACCTCATATTAAGGGTATGGGTTGGTGAACCCTCCCCCAGGCCAGACAGTCTGACTCGGCCCCTGATCCTGAGCAAATTGGCTCGAGGTTTCAAAAGCGAATCCCATGTTAAGGGGAGCTGAAGGTACATTGCTCGACGTCGCTGTGGTTGCTGTTGCTGTCAACGACGGCGCCGTTCCTTGAAAGAGACCTTGTATGTAGGAATCATCACTGAACTGATTTGAATTGGTGAGTCCCCAGTCCATTGCCGGAATGGTTTGCCAGAAATCGGGTTGAGGGATGTGGTTGGCTACAGGAATTGGGAAGAAAGGGTCGAAGGGATAGGTGGGATTGTGATTGTCGGATGCTTGAGGAGAAACGGATGATTCAGCTGAGGCTGCGGCGTTTTGACGGGTGTTTTCGAGTGAATAATTAGGAATCAAGTGTTGGAGGTCATCGGACGCTGGGGGGCTGCTGTCGGGGACTACGTAGCCGGAAGAGTTGATGCGGGGAAGACCGGGGAGATGGGGAATATCGATGATCGAGGGCGAGTGGACGGGAGGAGATGAAGAAGATGATTTTGGCGCCTCTGCCGGTTGGTGTCGCTGGCTTTGTTGCTCTTCTGGTGTGAGATCGTGGCCTTCTGTTCTGGTCACTGATGCACGAGAAGTCGTTCTTTCGCTGAGTTTGGTTGCCTTTTGATCTCGTTCTAGGACAGATCTGGCTATTCGTTCAAAGTTTGCGCTCATTTGCGTCATGAATCGAGCGTAGTTGGAGGGCCCGTCGCCGGGGATCAGCGTGGCGAAGAATGTCGAGGCCATGTTGAGTGATTGGATGTCTTCCCTGGCGTTAGGGTACCGTGAATCTCGTAGAATGTTTACGAAAATGGTCAGAACAGCCAGAAACACGTAATATAGAAGGGACCTGTGCGAATAGTGAGCATCGAATTGGAGGTAAACAGGAGCCCGATGCTATTGTTGCCTTACCATATCCATGCTATGTCACCCCATGGGAGATTATTAACGAGCCTCAATGTATCCCGAGCAGCCTCTGAACAAAGAGCAATGGAGGAGCCCGATTCTCGAAGGATCAGATTGGCATCGTCGGGTGTCGAATCTCCATTTGCGAGACGGTGTCGGTAGATAAAGTGAATGACTAAAGGCATCCGATGGATCAAGATCAAAGAGTTGAAGTAGACAAATTGCATGCCAGCGGACGCAAATCCTCGCAGAAAATCTTCGCCTGCCGCTCCCTGTTTCAGCTGATCATCAAAAGTGTTCGCAGCCCTCCATTCTCCGAGCTCAGCGTGAAGTTCTTTGACTATCTCGATGATCTCAGCCGCAGTCTTATTCTGCAAGGCTTTCTCAGAATAAAGCTTCGTATATATACGACCCTTGATGATGGTGATTCGACAAAGTTGCTGGAAAAATGGCTTGTTATCGCTTAGCAAGAGATCATTTTCGAGATCAACAGCAGGGATGTCGACGTCAAAATCGTCGGGATGTTGAGTTGGCGCATTTCCAGTCCGTATACATGTGCTACATTGCCATTGTATATCAGCTTCGAACAGTCATGAGGAAAAGGGCGCTGATAACCTTTGGTACTTACCTTTGATCCAGGATGAAGGCGATCCAGAAGACCCTTTTTCTTTGCTCTCGTTCCGCTGGGGCAAGGTGAGGCCGCGGAGTGTCACGGTGGAGACCCAGTCGGTGGCACGCTCTGATGGCTGCGGTTATTAGAGGCATTGCTGACTGAGTGCCTGAATTACCGCGAAGGAAAAGCGCCATGCCAAGAAGAGCTTGTACACTTAGAATATCAGTCCGGCGCAGCGTCAGTTCTGCGAAAACCGACATGGCGTTCTTATAATAGAGCCATGCTTTTTCTTTGTCCTTTTCCGACTTCAGACTATTTGAGTATCTGTATTCATAGGCCAAGGCGAGAATGACATTGATGCTGGCCCACCGAGCAGCGTCATCGCACGTCTGCTGTGTATACTGCCATTCCACCAATTTCATAAAAGATGCTTCATGGTAGAGTGGGAATAAGCGATTGATTGTTCGAAAGTAATCGCGTAACAAGGAGAATACCTCTGCTCGGGGCGGAAGAGGTTTGAAGACCTTTGAGGCAAAGACGTCGTGGAACACATCGGGCCGCCAATAGTCCCATGGACTATCGTGCTTTGTGTCCGAGACTAACATACGAAGAAATTTCACTTCACCGGTCTTGTGCTTGATCCACTCAATCCCTTCTCTGGATAAAATGGATAAGGAGGAAGAACGTCCTGAAACGTGTCAGGAACTTAGGAAGCGCCAAAGGCTCAGATACTTTATGAACAACATACCATAGTATAGGGAGTCTGCCTTATTATCCCATCGAATTAAGGAAACATGTTGGCTATCCCCAGTAACGGAAAGCTTGCCAGATGGCTTAAGTTCCGACTGCTGATCGGTATCCCTCAGAGCACCCGACTTCGACATGCGAGCCGTATGCGCGCTCGGGTTATGCGGCAGTGTACTCGAGAGATCATCCTCACTTTCGGCTTCAATTCCGTCGTCTTCGAGGGGCACATCATCATCGCTGCTGGTTTCTGGAGGCGTAAGCTTCTCCTCGTTCAGGAGACCAGCGGCTTTGAGCAGCGACTCCGTCCTCTCCAAGCGCTCTTTCAGAGCCTTTACATACAGGCGTCTAGATCTGTCAGACCCGTACCACTTATCAAAGAGAAGCAAGAGAATGAGAATCAAGGCTTCGGTCAGCTGCAAGCTTACCTTTTTCTACGCTCCTGCTTCTCCTTTGTGGAAGTGAGTTCGCATGGAATGCGACGACGTGTACATTGATTACAAGACGTGTTGGAGGCATCAGGCTCGCACTTTAGCTTGCTCTTGTAGCAAGCTTCGCAGACCTAGAGAGACAATTTTGATCAATGCCATTTCTTTACAAGAGCAAGGAATCTAGACGATTCTTACCAGAGAGTTACGTATTCGATTCGCATTATGATGGTCCTTAGCTCTTGCTGCTTGATGGATACTTGCATGACCGTCCAGCGGTCCCAGAGAATGTCTGCTCTCAGCTGCCACTGATAAGTTCTGCATGGTTTTGTTAAACCAGGCAGTGTGTTTCTGCTGTCATGAGCAGGATATATGGACCCGGACCTGCCGGAAGCCTGACTAGAAAGCCGCGAGGTCTCAGTATGGGAAGTCTTAAAGAGAAAGGCTCTTCTTAGACACTGAAAGAGTTCAGTTGTTAAGCCAAAATTTGATCTTAAACCAAAAACACAACGAACCAACTGGTCAGGTGCTAAGTTTGAAGCGGTTGGGATGTGATAACTTGGTGCTCCGCAGTTCTCTGACGGAGCTCACCATGGAGCAGCCCCGGGCTCTCTTTGAATAGCCTACTATCCAAGATGTAGCGTTGTCTATCCGAAAGACAAACATCAGACAGAATTAATGTCTCGAAGCAGAAGATCTCGAGATCAAAATCTGAACACACACCACTCGGGCACAAAGGTTGGTAATGTTCCGTCGTTGGCCGCCGGAGCATCGGGATCACGGACTCCCGATCATGTGTGGGACTGCCAAGATCCACCTACGCTAGCCTGGGAATCCAGCCTTCTACGGAGTACTCCTCCAGTCCTCCTACTACTATCTATTACTATCTACTATCTGAATACTTTCATAGACATGACTTCTACCACGGTCACTAGTCCTGATGAACGTATGTCAGGATTAGCAAGTGTGATCGGCAACTTGAGTTTTGAGCTGGTCAAGATGCTTGTCTCTGATGTGTTCTTGTCTAGAAGAAATACAAAGAACTTGGACTGATGGGTAGGAATGACAGAACACGAGCAACTGGGCTCGGCCACGGACGCCGTCATGCTCTCAATACTTCTAGTGAAAAGCCTTTCTGCAACCTCATGAGGAGCGCTGGAAAGTTTGAGAATTAGGCGTCTAGGTTTTTCATCGTCGAAGACTCTAGCTCCGCTCGGTCTAAGAAGGCACGGATGATTGAGCGATTCGCTGACCAGACTTGGAGGTACGTTTGTGAAAGCCGCGTAGGACGGGTTCCTCAATGTGAAGTCACCGATCATGTTCACAGATGGAAAATTAAAGTCTACCAGCTCTTGAACATGCTGAATGCTTTTGGAAACCCTGTGACTCCGACCAACCATGACTCCAACCAACCACTGGTTATCCGGGTGAAGAGCATGGTTTAGGGCTGCTGCTGCAATTCCCCATTTGAACTTGTTGAAGTCTTGCTGAAGCTTCTCGCATCTCTTAACCACTCGTTCCGCGGGGAAATCCAGACTGGAAGTGGAGAGTCGCGAGCACAGGCCACTGTTGCAGATGAGCACGCACTTACAAGGCAACTGGATGACTGGGTCGTGCCAATTATCTTGCTTCAGTGTCGTCCTCAATAGCGGTGATCCCATTGATAAAGGCATCCTTTTCTAGCCTCAGATGAGACGCTTCATCATCAAGAAGTGGTATGAGCTTGTATAATATGCCGGTACGAGCCTTTCCAGTGATATCACAGATTCCGCAATATGGACCTGCAGTCCTGCAGTTTCGGCTTGGAGTATCCTGATTGTCAAGCGCTGAAAATTAGTTGCCGATGATATCACATCTGTTTCAGTTGGTCCAGGAGTCCTAAGGTACAGAGTTTGAAAAGGAATGGTCATTGGTGTTCAGAAAAACAACCGGCAGAAAGATGCGCATGCGTGACTGGCTGACAAGCTGAGCATATGGCGGAGCAAGCAAAAGTCGCGAGACGTAGTGCGGTGGCCTTTACTTGAGCAATGCCTGGAGTCTGTTCATAAGGCTCGTCGGTAGTGGCCAAGCTGTCATTGGTTGCGTCGCGAAGGGGGTGTCAGGTAGTGCTTTGAACCATTTTTCGATATCTTGCAGTAAGGTTCTTGCATCCGCGGTGTAGCAGCAGTTCTTAGCTTTACCTGCCTTTGTGAGAGCCTCAACGAATCTGTTTGCAGAGGCTCCAAAGGGACGTTCAGCTGCGATTGCTTTTCCTTCCAGGAGTGTGTGTAAGCCCTTAGGCCATGTTGATACTGGCAGCGCGATGACGTCGGGTGGTAGGACTAGTGATCTTATCTGCAGTTGCTACCACTTCCTGTGCGCAGCAAAGAGGAGGAAGAAGTGCTGGCTGCTGCCGTAGGCTATTAACATACGATCTGGTGACAGGAGCGGTTGCATTTGGCGGCACAATCTGACATTTTCGATGAGAGCTTTCTTCTTCTTCCTTATGGCGATGATGAGCACGATCCTGACATCACCCTTGAGTTTTCAAACCGCCATTTGACGTCCTCATGCAGCTTGAGTAAGGGTTGATACCCCTACCCCGACCTCGAAAACCAATGAGCAGGCATTCTGATGTATACTCGTGGCAGCCAGTTGGGGCATCACCTTCCAACACGGCGACGTGGGCAGACGGCAGGTGAAAGTCTTGCGTCGTCATATTAATTCTGGCTGTGGCGGCCGGCTCCGGTTCCTCAGGCACTGATCCTTCTCCTGGCGGGAAGAGCCCTTGTACAGCTTGCCGTTGACAATGGTGGTGAAATTGGCGATCATTCATTCATGGGCGCCGGTAAGAATGACCTTAGCCAGGCGGCGAGAGAACGAGTTATGACCACAATGAGATCACTAACGACAAGCTGCACCAACGGAAATCAACTGGATTGATGATGAACAACTACCTTCCCACTCAAATCGGTAACTTCGAGAAGCCCGTAGGGACGTTGCCTTATTTCTCCAGCGAGGGCCATTTTGACGACGTGCACGGCCTTGAATGAGAGATAAGAAGGCCATATGACGACGAAGGCGAGATTTAGCTATTTGGCAGGAGAGATAGATTGGATGGAGAGATTCTCCAGGGGCGAATAATGACTCCAAAAGCTCATCAATGAGGTATGCTAGTCCAGTGAATGAGCAGGAGATATCTGATCAAGATCAGTTAGTGAATGACTTTGTAAGAGTCTGTATGAAAACCCCAGCTGCACATACACTATGCTAGCTTTGCAAGTGGATTTCGACAAACCGTGCTGAATCTCATTTTTAGGGCTATCGTGGTGTTACTAGGTATCATGATATCCATCGCCTAGTCAAATTCTCAAGAGCTTCGAAAAATCTCTTTTCATGCGACCAGAAGGAACGTAGGACTAGCTGTGTGTTGGGAGAATCTACAACCATACAGTCGATCCAGAATTTGGGTTATATTCTAACATACAGGAAGCAGAGACATTCTCTAAGCACTTTGGCCTGCAAGACTGTCGATGGATCTACCAGTTTCTATCCGCAATCTCTTCATCTTTCTTGTTTTCCCGTATAGAGCCTACTCCCAGGTGACAATTAAACAGCGCTACACCCAGATATGGCTCATGTGCTGAACCGTCTTCACCGTTCGAACCGGCGCAAACAGTCCGCGATTCAGTCGCTACAATACCTTCGAATCATCTCCTGGGAGCCCAATGTGTGCCAGTGTTCGATTTTGGGCGCCTGCGTGAAGGACGGCGCAAAGACCTCTGGCAGTGGTATCATGACATGGAGTTGCGGTCAGCAAAGAGACTGAAGAGGAAATGACGACTGCATGGAGATGATCATGACAGATCCAAACATGACAACAAATCTTGACAGTAGTATGCCCCTGTGGAACAAAGGAGGCCTGAGGTACCCATGGGAAACCATGTTGAAGGCTGTTCTAGACCGATCGAAAGCACGAATGCGTCTGATGAGTCAGTCGGAAGTTATAGAGATATCTAATGAAGGTGTCAATGTCCAGCACAGTGATCGGATAGAAACATTTATTGACTGCAAGTCATGGAAACGACGGATGCCTTCCCAGAGACCACTTACCAGCATCATCCAAGTAACTTGCAATATTCGACGCCTATCTCGGGCGCAAAGATTCGGACACGATCGCAGAAGAATGGGTCATATCGCCAAACATGATACCCGAAGGAAATTTCAGATGTTCAGATGACCAGGCGCTTGGATTTATTATGCTTGTCCATGTACCCCGGTACCATGGAGAAAAAAGCAACATCCCAGCAGGTGCCGAATATAGTAACAAGGGGACACTTCAGTACGACCGATCGCCAGAAGCAAATCTTCCATTCTAGACTCGAATCGGTCGAAGCCGTATTATGCCCTTGTTAGTTGTTGGGTTAATAACGAGGCATGATGATAGCATCATGGGCAACGGAGCGCCTTGCTGACCTGGGGTAAATGCATGTCGTGGTGTCACGATGCATCACATCCGCCTAGGCCCCATGGTTTTTTCATCTCAGTCTGATCTCTCCGTTTCCTCTCAATAGTCATCTCTGCCTGAGCGATAAAGAAAATGAAGCAGCCGAAAAGTGACATCCCGCAAATGTGTGGTGGTGGGTTTCGACCATTCCCTGTCACATGGGCATGGGCTCATTGACGTGGCTTGAATCCGTTCGCGGCAGGCTGAGTACCATGATCCCGACCCGCGGGAACGCAATTAAACAATCGGCCATATGCTCTCCTGCTTGTGACGATGACCACAGTATCTGATTCAAGGGGCTGTCTGTGTGGCGTGGACAGTGCATTCATCAAATGTCGTTATGGTTTGGCGTCCAGAATCCGATGAATCTATACCGCTACTTTGTGTACGGCATGCAGTGATGCCGCTGACTGCGCCCATCACACGACTGCGGTGAGGGGATCCGATTCCGACAGTCAACGATATCTATCGGATGATGCTCTTGTGGCGGCTGGCTGGCCGATGCTCGAAGTTGCTAAAGATACTTTGTACTCTGAAGAGGCTTGAAGAATGTTTGTCTGTCGGGTTCTGTGCTTATCTCGGTTGGATTCTCAATCACACTGTGACCTATTCTTCCAGAGCAGAAGTACGTGCATTTGATGCGTTTGGTTCTCTTTCCCCCACGAAGTACTACTCCGTAAGTAGATACATCTCCACTGAAGGGAAGGCCTGGCACCAGAAGCGTCAAATGTGGCATCTGAAAGAAACCAGTCTGATCAATTATGTAAAAAGGTTACATATGATTATTACTGAATGTATACATACTCAGCCACCGAAATAGCTCATACATACTCCCTAG